GATTTGTTTTTTTTCCATTGATAGCAATTGTGATAATCAGTCTTCCACTGGTTGCAGTCGACTGTTTCGCCGAATATAAAGTATTGATGGAAACGAGCCTTTATACTGCTACAATCATCATACTCATCTTTATACACCATACACGGTCTAATCTAAAGGAAATATGCAAATATAAATTGAATACAAATTGAAATCCAATGGAAAATGATATGAATAAAGGTGTAATCGCATACCATCCACTCATCATAGCGGAGTGGCGTTTCCTCTTCTTTTTTTGCTTCGCTCATATTCGCTAAAATATAACAATATCTTTTAGATCACACATAAAAAATAGATTTGTCTATTTACTCGCCGGACACATGTTTAACATACAGCACAATATACCTTAACTGATAAATACCGCAACTAAAAGCGATATTTAGGTTAGATATAAATTAGATTACGTTAGACACGCATGATGCACGTTAGACACGCATTCGGAACGACAACTGCTCGCTCGGCATGAATACATAGAATAATTCCCTAAATGTGCGAGCAGAGTGACAATTGTGGAAATCGAAAAATACAAGTGTATTTGAGTCGAAGACGTTGAAGTTGGTTGAACTGATTGAACTACTGTTGGTCGCGATAAAAAGTAGAATATCGCGGATGTTATTAGAGGTTCTTGGACTTCTTGGGTTTCTGTCATCTTTCCTAACCTCTCACTGCTTTCGCCCCACGGATGTCCCGGTATCTTTGGTGTTATCGTGTAACTGGTACAATAATTGATTATCGGTGATTTAATCGCGCGTGAACAATAACATGATGTCGCGGTCAGTGCGGGCGGAGACTCGTAGTCGTGCCAAGGATGACATTAAACGTGTAATGCAAGTAGTTGATAAAGTTCGTCATTGGTAAGTTTCCTGTGTTGTGTTCAGAAGGAGAGAAAAAGGCGGATAAAGGAAATTGCAAGATCTTACGTTTGTCATTTATCGTTTTTCTTGTTTTATGGAAGATACTCACGGATCGTACGAAACAAGTGCTTGTGTTTTGTTTAATTATCAGAAGGGCGTGATGTCTGATGTACGTATTGAAAGACTGCGAGGCAGTTGCTAATGTTCGAAGTTGAAATACCCGTTTCGAGTATCAAAATATTAAAAATTATATGAAATTCTGTTTGACAAAAGCTTTTAATCTACTAAAAACGAATGTTCAGATAAGAATATTATCAATTCAATTGAAGATTTCATAGCTGAGCTTTGGATAGAGTGATAGAATTTGTCATAGCAGTAAGGACAAACGTATACTTACAATTAGTAATACATAGGCCGCTATTCATAGTTGGATCTTATATTTAAGACCATCTTAAGTATAGTCTTAAGATGTTATGAATTAATCAGAGAGAGAGAGAGAGAGAGAGAGAGGGAGGACGGCATTAAGGACTTAAGACATTACTCTTAAAATAAGAACCGACTATGAATACCGGCCATAGTTTAGCTATGAAAACTGAAGGATCTTTCTTTTATTCTTTATTAAATAATACATGTTTTTGTTCCTATATTCTATTAAATTCATTATTTATATAAAAATAAATGGATAAAATTCTGAATACACATATATGATTGCAGGGAAAAGAAGTGGGTTACAATAGGAGAAACAACTATGAAAATATATAAATGGGTTCCAATCTCGACACTCGATCAGGTATTTCACGCAAAAAATATGATACATGCTGATTAAAATTAACCGAAACAAATAGTTAAGAATAAATTGTTTTATTTTATAGAAGAAAAAGGGAAAGACAGTATCCGACAAGGAAAACGGTTTACCAAGAAAAGGAGGAATAGAATCATCAAATTCCAATTTCGGTCTTACAGAAGATTCCAATACGTGTGAGTTTGATTTTGGTAATTTGTGAAAATTATTTGTGAAAATTATTGTTATTGATTAACATAAAATATGGATTTTTTTACACACTAGGTTTCTCTACTGTTAGTGATTCTCAAGGACTGACAGATTTCTCTGCACATTTGGGTTTTTCAGAAGATTCGAATTCACAAAACAGCGAACCTGCACCTAAGAGATTAAAGACTGACTAATGTTTGAGCTACAATCAACATCACCGCCAATACGTCGTATAGGGATTGACATTTAGGAATCTATCTCTTTCGTGAACTTGCACTTGTTAATTTTTTATTAAGACATACTTTTTAATATGAATGGATCACAAGAGAAATTTCTCTTTTCTGTTTCATTCGAATTTAGTGAGATATAAATTATATATATATATATATGTATACATACATATATACTTATATAAGTGCAAATAGTATCGATCCTATGAAACGTTTTGAATTATGTATAATGGAATTTATTTTTTCACATATGAATTTATTACAACTTCCCCATTGAATTTAGAAACTAGAAACAACGATCAGTTAATTGTTATTGAATAGAATAACATCAGGCGAGTGCTCAATCCGTTTATGTATGTATATTGTTTTTATTAAATATTTAATTCTTGAATCAATTACAATGCATGGAATGCAATTGGAATTGAACTTGAGATCTGTTGAATGACAAATTAACCATTCTTGAATTACATATCATCCCAATCGGTTTATTAAATTCTTGTTTCTATATATATAATCGCTAAAAGTGATACATACTTTCCGAGATATTAGACTGTTTCCAGATTTTTGGTATATTTTTAAATGCTCATTACGCGGCTAAGGCCCATTAGCGGGAATGGCTTTACAGATGTTCATTTGATAGGTTCCTCTAACATCGCTGCAAGTTTGATCAAAATCGATGAAGAGCAGAGTGTAGTTTCTCCTTGCAAGTAGAAGCCATTAATTCGTCAATAGGTTCTGAGTTCAATCT